TGGCTTACCTGATGAGTATAAATCGATGTTGATGGGATTAGAGAGCTAAGGGACGGGAATCACCTCGGATGCAGTAAAAAAAAGCTCCTACAGGAAGTAAAGTCAATTTCAGGATGTAGTAACGGCGAACAAGAAGCAGCATTCTATTTGAAAACAGGCGCAAAGCAAGGCAAAGAAATAAAATAAGTGAAAAGATGTTTCGTATATAATAAAGTCGGTTATTTTGCAGCAAAATATAAATATTGAAAAGACAAGGGAAAGACGTAAGATATCATTTTATTAGAGAAATTATAAATGATAAAGCCATATGCATAAAACACATAAACATAAATGAAATGACAGCTGACATATTTACAAAAGCATTACCGAAACCAAAGTTTAAGTTCCATGCGAAACAATTAGGTTTAATAGGCACAAATAAATAAACGTAAACTATAAGATTAATTAGCTTATAATATAGATATGATAGATACAAAATGTGTGTTGTATTGCGTTAAAGCTATAAAATAATGTATATGCGAACATGATATTGTGCTCAAGAGGGGATATTGGAATGTAAGTTTGAACTTAGAGATATTGTATTGTCGTTCTAATAACATTAGCCATGCAAACTGCAATATCATTGGATGGACTTTTATTGAAGTGCCCTCTAGGCAGGCCTAGATGGCATGACTGTATGTTTTCAATAATGGTAATGAAACTTGTGACTCTCATACCTTTCGGTCACGTGAAACGCACGTACTGCTTTGTTCTCCATAAATCATTTTTCCCATCATATTTAAATATAGTTAGTAAAAAAGTGGTTGTTCATCAACACGGCCTGAAACATTTGAGAATCCAATCAATTATTGTTATTTTAAAGAAGAAAAATATATATATCGAAATGCAGTATTTGATGGTAAAATGGCTTTTACATGTTATGCATGATGCAAAAGTTACTTTTGTCTTGAACAGTACTTTGAACAATGCCATTATTGTAACAATTATATAAAATAAGTGATATTTTATTAATATAACATTTTATTTCTGTAAAAATAAAATATTTATGGAAAATAATATGAAAAGTTATATTACTTAGGCATGAGATCCTACATTAGTTTTTTATATATTTTATATATGGTTGTGGTTTATTGTTAAATAAAATGTTTTAAAATATATTGTATGTAAAACAATTTTATTATTATATTACCATCACATTTTATAAAAAAACATATGGAAATATTTCTCCAATTTTGATGATGAAGATAAATTTTAAATGTTACGTTTAATATATAATATTTAATATTTATTATCTTTTACAAAAGATTTTATGAATAAAGTTTAATTATCTATATTTTAAAATATTATTAATCTTTATGTTCACGTGAAGGTTCTTGAGTTCATGCTCGATCAAAAAGCTTTTAATAATTGCTATAAGTGTTGAGGAGCAGAGCGCATTCGAGGGCGTATTCGAGTTACCGAAATATCTATCTTACATGTTATATACTTTCCGGGAAAAAAATGATTATATAAGATTATATATAATTATATAAAATCATATGTGAATTTTGCCCATACATGTGGTTATATATGTGATTATATATGTCTATACGAAAAAAATGATGTTATGTCATTTAATTAAATGTTTATATCATGTATTGTCAGAAGCACATGTAGTTAGAAGCATTTACTTCGATTATGATTATTGTATTTGCATATAATTTGTAAACAACAGTATTTTTTCGTTGTGAACATATGTGATATATGTAGTCTTATATGAACAAATTTCATATACGATCCTTTTTTTCCCGGGTTATTAATAAGAAAAGAAAACTGTGAACAAAAAAATTATTAATAAATATACGGCAAAACTAATTTATAAAAAACAAAAATTATTTATTTTCGATAAGAAACACCATTCTTTGCGTACGGCACTTCACAGTGGGATACTTCACAGATGCACACTACTTTATTATTTTGTGCCTCCATATTACCAGATTACAAAATTATCGACGAAAATCATATCAAGTATGTATACAGATTATATATAAATAATTATACATAATCATTTTTTCCCAGGAGAATGGTCCTATTTTAATGAAAACAACGGAATATCTTGAAAACGAAACAAGTAACAAAAAATGGTTCAGACAAATTTACTGCGTAATTAAGACTATATAATTAATTTTATCCTTTATATATATATATATATATANATATATATTTTATATGTATATATGTATATGTATATATGTATATATATATTTTTTGTATATATATGTATATATATATATTTTTTTTTATATGTATATACACACATATGTATGTTTTTATATTTTCTGATTTGTCTGGATTTACTTACGGATAATATAAGATAATATATGTGTAAATCGATCTGGTACTGTATTAGGCGCAATCTATTTATTTTCACAATATCATTCATAAATATAATGATGCGCATAACAGAAAATATTACATATACGTTACTGCATCCGTTTATTTCATTGCATTGAATAATTCTAGACGATTATCTTTAATTTTTTTTATCAAAGTTCAGAAATTATTTAATCAATAACTTTGATTTTTCTCTTACGATATACTTCGACTACTGTATTATATATAAAATATGTAATTTTGGGTGTACAAGACTTTACGAATTTTTTTATAAAAACGCATTGATTTGAAACACAAAAATCATTTTTACTTTATTCAAAGTATGCTCCATCGGAAGCCTAACTTTAGTTCCACGCTGGTAGAAGTCTGGTTGTTTTGAAGTGATCCAGTTATCAAGCCAATTTTCAATTTCTTCATAAAAACTGAACCGCCCTCCAGAAAGGGCCGACACCATGGACCGGAACACATAGTAATCTGAGGGAGCAATGTCTGATGAATATGGCGGGTGAGGTAGAATCTTCCAGTTTACTTCTTCTAGATAATTCTTGATGGATCCATGAACATGTGGTCTGGCGTTGTCATGCTGTAAAGTTATCTCGTTATGTCTCCAATTCCGGTCGTTTTTCATTCAGAACTCGGTTCAATTCATATTAATTATAGTCGGTACCGTTCACCAGTGATAGTTTCAGACGGTTGCAATAGCTTATAATACACCACCCTTTATATCCCACCAGATACACAACATAACCTTGCTGCCATGGATGTTTCGTTTTCGCGTTGATGGACCTGGTTCACCGGGTTCTCATGCTGTCCGGTAACTCATGCTGGTTTGCATTTAGGATTGTCGTAGTAAATCCACTTTTCATCGCCAATAATAATTCGATGTAAAAAACTTTTTCTTTTTTGTTGTTGCAGCAACAATTCGCACATGGTTTTTCTTCTTTTAATGTCTCTTCCTTTTAATTTGTGTGGCACTCAGCTTCCTTGCTTTTGAATAATTCCCATTGCATGCAGATATAAGGAAATGCATTGTTGAGTAACATTTAATGTTGTTGGCAATTTTTTTCTGTTTGACATGCATCTTCGTCAAATAATGCTTCCAACTGTGCATCTTCAAATTTCTTCGGTAGTTTTCTATGCTGTTTATCATCCAAATCAAAATCATTGCTTCTGAATCGTTTAAACTATTTTTCACACATGCTTACCGATGAAGCATATTTTTTGTAAATTTCCACAAGCAAATGATGACTTTCAGTTGCACTTTTCTTTAGAAAAAAATAATGAAGTAAAACTTCCCTTAAATGGCGTTTTTCTGATAGAAAATTCGACATTTTCAATGCGATAAAAATAATAGTTGTTTATACTTCAGTCAAATGACATGTACTACGTTTTAAAGATGCGTACACATCTTTCAAGCATATGTATTGCCAACTTCAACATAATGCTTGTAGTACGACTTTCGTCATCCATTGAAAATCCGTAAAGTCATACTTGTACAACCAATATATAAAAAATACTTACGTGATTAGGTTTATTACAAATATTTGTTTCATCGTTATCTTGTATTGCGGAAAATTACAGAGCGAGGAAGAGAAACAGAAACTGTCATAGTGGTCATAGCTAAGTAGCGAGCTGACAAAATTGATAATATGCCAATAGGGGTGTTTTCAGCTTATTTCTTATAAATATGTTTACGGAATACAATTTTATTATATATGGTTGAATTTGGCATGAAATAAATTTTAATTTAGTTACGAGAAAATTTTAAGAATTTAAGAAAGAAAGATAAGTTGTAGGGAAGACGTGAAAAATTTAATATTTTCGAAAAATCTAATTACGCTGTTGTAAAGGTACATTCAAAATTATAAAACTTTGATTCGAAACATTTTTTCATATTTCGCATTGTTTCGGCGATATTCGCTTAGGAACATTAACACAAATTTTATTTAAGAAGGTACTGTGTCTCTAAAACCGAATATTAGTCGTTAAAAAAAATTGTTTTCGTGATTAGGTCCATCCACTCTATACTTATGCAATGTTTCAAATTTTTAAAAATTTTACACTTGAATTTTACACTTTGAACTTCTCTTATCAGTAATAAACATATATTATTGTCGATTGTTTTCTGTGTATCAACTGCACTTTTCTTTATATTACAACATTTATGTATGATGCTTTTTGCTACCAACATCAAAATTTGACATTGCGTGACGGCTAACACCAGAAAAATTAGTGTTCTGAAACAGGTACTGCTCCGAAATAGGTTAGCTTACTCTAGCATGACTGTGTAATTGTTATGTAACATAATAATTTTAAAATCGCTTTCATATTATTGACATTTATCAAATATATCGTCGACTTTAACATCTCTTTATGATTTTGCAACACTTGTATACTTTTGTCGTAAAAGATGACTGCTTCACTGTCAAAGAAAACAAAAAATTAAACATTCTTCCTGGTAATTTTATATTTTTATTAAATTTACTCATAAAAGAGCATCAAAGGATATCATTCACCTGATCAATTTGATTGGATCCGATCTAATCTCTTTGAATGGAACCGATCGGGCTGATGTGACTTCAAATACGGGACAAAATGGAAAATATCACTTACGATGCCGCACTTACGTCGGTCACGACCATTAATGTTTTAATGTAGGCTACTTCAGTCTGTATTAATTCCCAGAGAGCGGTTTGTTGCTGTTGCTGCTTCTCCGTGAGTTGGTCGGAATTCTCTACAATGTGGCGCCAGTCGTCCTCTAACTTGTATAGCGCTGAAACAATATCACAACAATGCGTTTCTATTGTCTCTGTAGTGAGCAGTGAATACGTCATTCAGATTGCATAAGTGGAAACAAATAAGTAGATTAGATGATTAACCCGTTGCGGTCCACGCGTATTCGCAATTTCGTCCCAGCCGGTCCGCACAGATTTCGCCAATTTTTAATCTTCATCTTGTATTTGCATTATTCCAATAAAAGACTTATAAAAGTTTGTTTAATGTTAACACATATATCTCATCGTTTAACTTTAGCTGACCCTTTCATTATTTAAATATTGTATCTTTTACAATGACTTTTCTCATCAATTTACCACTATTATTTATCCGTGTGAGAACCAAACTATGTTATTAGTATAATTAATAATAATAATTAATAATTTATAATAATAATTAATAATAATTATTAATAATAATTAATAAACTGTTTTATTCAAAATGTCCTAAATTTAACCAAGTTGTTAAAATTATTTATTCACTTCCTTTCAGTTACTTAAATCTAAATTCCCCTCTCAACACTCTCATATGGTCCTCTCATCCATCCCATCCCAGGTAAAGAGATTAAGTTCTTTGACCTAAATAAAGGACCACCTAACATACGTTCTGTGATCAAAGTAAATGGGTCTCTCCGGACCTTGACCTGATCTGATCTGCAGACCTACCAGTACGTTTAGGACTCGCGAGTGCGCGAGTAAGCGATGTTTGTTGCGTACATCCTCTTCTAGGACGTAACACGTGATTTAGATATGGAGATGATAATGAATTGCACCAGTTTATAACAGGAAGATAGAATATTGGACGCTTTGATTTTCTAGGATCGTATAATCTTTCTGACTCTGGCGGTGCATTATCTCCCGTGAGAAAATGTTGACTCGTGACGTTTCATGACGAACCAACGTCTTTCCATATTCGGTCGATTTCTTTGGGCTAGGTTTCTAATCTTATTATTATTATAGGGTGCCGCTCGGCCAAATGCATTTGTTTCCCAATGTAGAGAGAGCGAAGAGGTAGAATGAGGAAAGAAAGAAAAGTTCATTATCTGTGAAGTACGCAGGACATAACAAATATGTTGTTAAAATTTAAGCAGATTTCGCTAATAAAACAGGTTTAGGGATTAATTATTTCAACCGAACATATAATTGCGTAATAATTTGCATTTCAGTACAAGGTTTCCAAGAATTTCCAGCACTCTTCGAACTTATGTCGCTTATTTTCGGGTGGAAACTTAAGCACAGAGCAGAGAAGAATATATATTGAAGAAAAGGAGGAGAGAGGTGAATGTTGGAAGCATACCTTCTTCGTTGATCGCCAAGTCGTAATGCAAAGAAATGTCCTTCGGCACACCGTGTTTATTATATTCATCCAGTTGGGCAGTTAGAAGGTCCATTTTGGTACCTTTGGTGTTGGTAAAGAACCCACTCCAACGCTGCTTGTTGGCCTTGAGTCCCGTAGCCCCAGTGGAACTCCGGCTGGAAGCGAACGTCGTACACGCGCCTACCTCGGAGTCGACACTCGAGTCCTCGGTGGAGACGCTGAAGAAACGACCGCTTCGACACCGATAACTCTATCGATGAAAAATCACCTTTGATTAATGAGACTGGTCACCATATAAATATATATATATATATTTCCCCCCCCCCCAATTTTAGCGAAATTTATAAAAAAAATACATCTGTTTTAAAAGGAATATTTTGCGATTTCTTTCTTATTGTTTCTTTCACACAATAAATACACAAGATATTTATCCCTTTCGCGAATCAGTTCCAGTTTTCTCTACCTCTTGCATGAAAGACTGAGCTCTACTTACCCCACTGATTTTTCGCAGCGACACGTTTTGACTCCCTTTTTGACTCGACGTCCGAGAGTTCGTTCTTTCGTCTTTAACTGAAACAAGAAAATGGAAATCATGGACGTATTCTAGTTAACAAGACAACGTCAAAATGATTTGAATGATTACGTGATTATGATGCTGATGTTTATGTGACTTAAACGGAACGTATTGACGTGATTTTAGATATTAAAATGGTACTTTACTATTATAATATTACGTCAATACATATACGAGGTCTGTTCAAAAAGTATCGCGAATTTTGTGTTTTTTCAAAAATTATTTATTTATTCATGAATATCTATTTTGTCTCCTTCAAAGTAATCCCCATCAGATATTATACACTTGTGCCAACGTTTTTTCCAATCCTCGAAGCACTTCAAAAAATCATTTTTTGTGATCTTGTTCAGCTCCTCCTTCGATGCCGTCTTTATCTCCTCAATCGTAGCGTAGCGTCGTCCTTTCATGTGCCTCTTCAGTTTCGGGAACAAGAAAAAGTCACAGGGGGCCAGGTCTGGGGAATACGGTGGCTGCGGCATCATTAGTGTGTTGTTTTTGGCCAAAAATTCGCGCACAAGCAACGATGTGTGAGCAAGGGCGTTATCATGATGCAAAAACCAATTTTTGTTCTTCTACAAATCCGGGCGTTTCTGGCGGATTGCTTCGCGCAAATTGCGCATAACTTGTAGGTAATATTCCTTATTGACCGTTCTACCCTGTGGCAAGAACTCATGATGCACCACGCCCCTGCAGTCGAAGAAAACTGTAAGCAAAACCTTCACATTTGACCGAACTTGGCTCTTCGTCGTTCACATCTTCTCGGCCCTCTGAGAACATTTTGTACCACCGATAAACGTTGCTTCGGTCCAAGGTAGCTTCACCATATGCCACAGTCAACATTCGGAATGCGTCCGCGCACTTAATTTTGTTAGATTCTTTGATCCATTTTTTGGAATAGGCAAAAATCGAAGACGAGCCAAAACACGTCCAAGCAAAACAGCTGTCGAAGATTAACTGGATATTCAAAATGGCCGAACTTGTCGGCATAAGTGAGGGATATGAGTACCAACGTAACGCCACAAAAAAATCGAAAATCGAATATACGTAACCCGCGGTAATTCAAAATTCGCGATACTTTTTGAACAGACCTCGTATTATCAACGTCGAATATATGTGGACATGTTTTATATATCCATATATTAACATGGAATTGTGTAAGTACTGTTTTGATGAAACTATAACACAGTATGTAATATTGCTGAGATATTAAAACGCGATATATCATAATATATTTTTGTAATATATATTATATTGCAGTGTGATATATAGGGTAGTTTAAAATTTCAGGAACGGCTAATTATCTCCAAAATAATTGTCTCCAAAACAATTATGAAATAATGTTCGAGACAAAACATGCAGCATTAAAAAAATTATACTGGATGACAATGTCTCTATGGCCTTGAAATGATTTTGGAATGACATGTCAAGATGACCTTAAAAAATTTAAATGGCTATTCCAACTTTTTATTACAGACTTTAATAATTAACTCACTTAAAATTTCCCTCTCAACACTCTCATATGGTCAGTTCCCAGGTAAAGAGATTAAGTTCTTTGACCTGAATAAAGGACCACTTAATGTACGTTCTGTGATCGGAGTAAATGGGCCTCTCCGGACCTTGACCTGATCTGCAGACCTACCAGTACGTTTAAGCCTCGCTAGTGCGCGAGTAAGAGATGTTTGTTGCGCACATCCTCTTCCAGGACGTAACAATTGCATGGAACGTGTATTCATGACTATGTGAAAATACGCATCTTTTTGATATGAAATTTAACAAATTTGTAAATGTTTTACAACAGACTAATATCATCGATATATGTTATACGAGTCTAAGAATCTTGAATTGTGTTACGTCGCTAAATATACATTGGGAGTACAAATTAGTTCGGTCCAATTTTTTGTGGTAAAAAATGCATTTATTTTAGAACAAAATGGATGAACAGATTAATCAAAGTATTGCCCATCGCTGACTACTACTTTTCTCCACCTCTCAGGTAATTTTCGAATTCCATCTCGAAAAAATGTCTCGTCTTTTGAGGCGATCCAAGTTAGGAGCCAATTTTCGATTTCTGCGAAAGAAGTGAACCGGTGACCTGCCAAATCGTGCTGCATCCGTCGGAACAACCAGTAATCAGAAGGAGCAATGTCCGGCGAATACGGCGGGTGCGGTAAAATATCCCATTTGAGCGTTTCCAAATAATTTTTTACGACTTTTGCGACATGAGGCCGAGCGTTGTCATGCAGAAGAATAACTTGGCACCCAATTGCCTTGCTTGTGAATCATTCCCATGGATTTTAATTGTACGGAAACTGCTTGTTGCGTAACTCCCAATGATTCTGCAAGCTCCTCTTACGTTTGACTCGGATCTTCATCGAGTAATGCCTCCAATTCTTTGTCTTCGAATTTTTTTGGCTGTCCAGAGCGAGGCTTGTCTTCAACGCTGAAATCACCATTCTTGAAACGTCGAAACCATTCCCTACATGATTTATCAGTTGGAGCATTGTCACCATAAACTTCTACAAGCATTCGATGCGCTTCAGCTGCACTTTTCTTCCAATTAAAGCAGAAAACTAAAACCTTCTGCAAATGCTGTTTAGTTAACATAAAATTTGACATGTTCAACACAGTAAAAAAACAGGCGTTTTGTATGAAACTCAAAGCGATATAAACTGAATATTATTGACAGATGTTTAACTTCTCTGAAACCACCGAAATCAGTTGTCACTATGAAACATTCATAATAGCCAGAGCCATCTTTTGAAAACAGATCGAACTAATTTGTACTCCTAATACGATACGCGAGAGCGACGATTTCGATAGCGAGTCTCTTATTGACTGCGAACTATTGGCATGTGCTTTGAAAAATATTGTGCATGATTTCATTGCAAATTAATAAAATTTGGTAAAAATAAACTGTTATAATTTAAAAAGAAAATGAATATTTCTCTTATGCTTACTCTTCTTCCTTATTATATATATACGTAATCGCATCGAAAAAAATCATAACGTAACCATCTTAGTAGAAACAGCCGTATCACAAGAACAATACGCATAGCTGGGACAGCAGATAAACGATAAGGTTCGAGCTCTTTTGTCCCTTTTTTCTTTCTGGCTAATTTTCCTATTCTTACCTAGCATACGTTCGAAAAGACGTTATACGCAGAATTATATGAACGTAAGACGTTTCGTAGCAGTATTATAAACGTAAAACATTAAACAACGTTCGTTAACCGTTCCTTTTCCGTTTTTTATCGTTCGTCGGTCGTTCCTTTGCCGTGCGGGGCTTTGTTTATTTGCGTGAGAGCGGAGGGGGCGGATCGTTGTGAATCGGGCCGGCAAACGCGGATAGGTGAGGGTGATCGCTGCGGACGAACACGGAAAGGATCGCGGTTGGGGGGTGGATCGCCGCGGGTGATCGAACGTGGGTCGCCGGTGGGATCCGTTTACCGACCGATGGAGGAGGAGGAATATCGATCGCTGGATGAATATCGACCGCTGAAGGGGGTAAAGATGGTAATACCGACATACTGTCGGTAATACAGAACGTAACATCAGTCCCTGTGCGTGTGACATCAGCCCCTCTCGTGACGTTGGCCCTCCTCGTGACGTCGGCCCCTGCATGCTTACAATCTCTTCCCTCCCCCGCGTGACGTCAGCCCCCGCGCGTCCACAAGCTTTCTCCTTCCCCGCGTGACGTCAACCCACGTGTCNCCCCCCCCCCCCCTTCCTGCATCGCGCTCTCCTCAGCAGACCTGGGTTAGAACCCGTCTTACTCATCTACTGTTTAGGTATTATACATTTTTTTCAGCAAAACATTGATGTTCCTTAAAAATATTCACGGCTTTTCGATAAAAATTAAAATAATTAGGAGAATATCTTCTTTCTCTTCTATGACTATTCGCTATTATATAAATTTTTCGTTCAATAATTAATTTCAGTTTCATCATTTCATTGTGATTCTTTCACAAGTAAATATTCACTGGGACTCACCGACTATTCGTAGTTGCTTTCCACCGAGAATAGAAGTATCTGTCGTTAGCAGTGGTAGCGGCGTCGAAAAACTATCCAGAACGTCGACGCGAGATAAATCGACACCGCGACGCTCGCAGAGGGAATTCAGCATATCCCTGTAAAAACATTAAATATATGAGAGAACGGAATTCTTGTAACCTCCCGTCCGCAATTCAAGGCGAGAATTCAACGCTGTGCATTTTAGCGTCGTGTTTATTTATTCGTGATGGCGCAATTAAGTTTGGCTCTCGGGTAAAATTGCAGCTTCGTCGAAAATCACGATTTACGATTTACCTGTCCACTCGCGGACATCTGCACGCTATCTGCAATCCAAATCGGATTTACCGTTATTTAGAAACAACGAGTACTCGTGGCGAAAGACTGTGGTAGAAAAAGAAAGAATGAAAAAAGGGAAGATTTGTTATGAAATTAAAAAGATTGATTAGCAAAAGAGTGGTCGACTTTTTGACAAAAATCTTGGAAATGGCAAGCAGATGAGGAAGGCCGGTTCTAGCACAGTTGGCGCTGTTTTACCGACCGAGTAGGGCCCTGCAAAAGCCGGTTCTAGCGCAGTTGGCGCTGTTTTACCGACCGAATAGGACCCTGCAAAGGGCGGTTCTAGCGCAGTTCGCGCTATTTTACCAACCGAATAGGGCCCTGCAAAGGCCGGTTCTACTGCAGTTGGCGCTGTTTTACCGACCGAGTAGGACCCTGCAAAGGCCGGTTCTAGTGCAGTTGGCGCTGTTTTACCAACCGAATAGGGCCCTATTCGGAGATGTCAGTTATCGATGCCGATGGTGACTGGATACATTAATGATATAATTGCATTTTAGCTCTAATCAAATAGAATGTATTTATATATTTCAAAATTTTCCTAACTCAATTTTTTCATAAATTAGACCGACTAAGCTTTTATTAGACAAACTATATGTCGGATTTCGATTATCATTTACATCAACCGTTTACTTGGTCATAAGAAACGGCTAATAATTACAGGTTCAGCCTGAGACATATATTTACAAACCTTCAATGTAATTGAGTTTCGGGCTCGTAATTTTTACACACATATACACACATGTTAACCTAAATGGCCCGAAACTTAATTACATTGTAGGTTGTAAATATATGTCTCAGGCTGAACCTGTAATTATTAGCCGTTTCTTATGACCAAGTAAACGGTTGATGTAAATGATAATCGAAATCCGACATATAGTTTGTCTAATAAAAGCTTGGTCGGTCTAATTTATGAAAAAATTGAGTTCGGAAAATTTTGAAATATATAAATACATTCTATTTGCTTAGAGCTAAAATGCAATTATATTATTAATATATCCAGTCACCATCGGCATCGATAACTGACATCTCCGAGGCATATTTTGTACTAAGTTGACAGCGTATTCATACGACAAGCATTTCCATATCTAACGAGATAACTGAATATTTGTCTTCCCCAAAGCTTATGTTTAATATATGCCTAAACATTTTCGATATGATTTTCATCGGGCGACTGTGATGGCCAATCCAATTAATTTATCCCAGATTGCTCCTTCCATTCAGTACAGAGCCTGCTCCGGTGTTTCGGATCATTATCCTTCTGCAGGATCTAGTCTTCATTTTTTTTTCATAAACCAAGATTGGTAGACGGTAATAAAACCTTTTTATAGATTTTCAATATTTTCTCCGCATTCAGATTGCGTGTAAACACGTATAGTTTACCAAATCCCTGTTCTGAGAAGCAGTCTCAAAAGTGTGCCTTTACTGCGTGTTTAACAGTCTGCTGTACTACTTTATTGGTGTGGGTAGACCAGGTTGGTGGGATATTACACATGCCCAAAAAGAAGTTTCATCAGTAAAAATTACGTTGCTCCAATCTCGATCGATATTCTCGTGCGCCCAAGCGAGTCGTGTTTTCATATGCTTTTCAAACAAATATTTCTTCACTGTATTCCGCCATTTTATATCATGAGCACGGAGACGGCGTCGTATAGTTTTACAGAAAATATATAAACTTTTCTCTCTCAATTTTGCTTGTCCTTGATGCAGTGTCAAGGCAGGATTTTTCGAAAACATGTTTACTATCCATTTATCATATTTTTTTGTAAATTTTTGCATTAAGCCACGTTTCGGCAAGTCATCGACTGTATTGTAACGAAGCGCCCGAGAGTCTTCGTTATTACCACCCCGAAGGGCGCACAACACCGCGCCCTGACGCTCCCCGACCACCCGGGAATAGTGCTGCTAGGGCGCTGCTAGGTGACGTATAAGCAAACCCGTTCTCTCGAAAACGAATATGCTACTAAGGTAGGCGCGGGGGCTAATGTCACGAGGGGGCTGACGTCACGCGCGCAAGAACTGATGTTATGTACTNTTCCCCCCCCCCCCCCTTCCAAAGAGGTTGATATTCTTTCAACGATCGGTATTCCTTCAGCGGTCGGTAAACAGGCCCCACCGACGTCCCACGTTTGATCGCCCGCGGTAATCCGCCCCTAACGCTCTCGCGCAAATAAACAAGGTTTCGCACGGTAAAACGGCTGACAAACGTAAAAAAAAACGGCAAAGGAACGGTTGACGAACGGTGAAGAATCGCAGAGGAAAGGTTGATGAACGGTAAAGGACGACAAAAGAATGGTTGACAAACAGTAAAGAACGGCAAAGGAATGATTGACAAACGTTAAAGAACGGTAACCATGTTTTTGAACGTTGTTTAACATTTTACGTATGTTTATAATACAGTTTACGAAAGGTCTTATGTTTATATAATTCTGCGTATAACGTCTTTTCGAACGTATGTGAGGTAAGAATAAAAAAAATGACCTGAAAGAAAAAAGGATAAATGGAGATTGAACTTTAGATTTTTCGTTTACCTGCTGTCTCAGCTATACATGCTTTTGTGATACGGCTACGATTTCTGCGAGATGTAAAGAACATAGTAATCAAACATGTGTGAAACGTTAGGGAGAGACACAGGACTCTCAAAATGAACATGGTGTTTAATGGTGAGTTTCTCGCGGATAATAAATGCGCAGCCAAAAGTATCAATACGAGAAACTGTGAACTCTTTTCCACATCTGATTTAGAAGAGTGGTACGAGGGGTGCGTGATCGATTCCATTTTAACGTCTTTGGAAGAATTCCAAGTACGCGACAGCGAGTGGGCATTGTTGCGAATACTCGATCTGACGGTTAATGTGAACAAGTATTGGGTTGAAAAAAAGAGTTTTACGGATTTTTAAATAGATGACAGTAGAGTCAGAAAATATATATCACGTGTCATTCAATTGCCAGTCTGCTGCACATTTTCTGAAAGATTAAACTACGCAGAATAAGCAATAATAAAAATATAAAGAGAAGGCTCAAAAGGACTAAATCTATTGATTTAATGTCGAACACAGAGGAAAACAATTAAAAATTTTAATTAATAATTAAAGCGCAGAATTAGCTTAGTAAAGGATGATGGGATTAACCATTCGGTTTCACCCTTACAAATGTGAACAGATATATGCGAGAGAAATTACTAGATGAGTGTAACTCAGTTGTAATAGTTATTTATAATAAATTAAAAAAAGTAAGCAAGGAATTTAAAATTTCAAGTCACAGGTAAAAATAAAACTAAATTTCAATTGACACACGTCACAGAACGCCATTATTATTCAATTATCATTATTATTAACAATGTAATTAGCACGGATTCATACTTATTCAAGGTTATCGTAATAGTGAAGTGAAATGATATCATAAAAAGTACTCAATCATCAACAATTTTATAGAATAATATTTCCTTAATATAACTTGATTGATAGATGAATCGTAATATAAAGTTGGTCCTCTGAAGTCAATGAAATATAAAAAATTAAGTTGCGTCTAATAATATGACCAGGGACTGTATATAGCGTTTCATTGTTTCATTGTTCATTGTTTCATTGTTCATTCGGTGGTTATACATGTTGTTTGAAATTTATTACTCTGTGCGGCGCGCGTACGCGCGAATGTGTGTAATATTAAAAATATGATAATATTTCACTCACGCTAGGTAGATGCCTTTTGTGGCTGGCAGAAATTCTTCACGATCGAAAGGAGCTGCATCCTTTCCCACTTCAAAGTTGACGCTGAAGTACTCGCTACTAGACATCTGTAACATATTAAAATGGCGAAAAACGATTACATTTATTGTTTTCAGTAAAAATAGGAAAATATATACTGTTTGGATACCCTGTAACTGAAAACGTGTGATGCAAAATTATCGGTTTGGAATATTAACTCAGCCTTGTTAAATTTTTTATTTAAAATATATGTTGCATTTAATTTCCCAAAATATACGTTGCATTAAATTATTTGCGAGGGTTTTCAATTTTGATTCAATTGAACGATTTCTAATGAAGAAATTAGCGGGCGATTTTACGTGCTGCGTATATCTGCGCAAAATAAATTGTTTTCGCGCAAGCGGGAGAGAGAGAGAGAGAGAGAAAGAGAGAGTGCGCGACAATTTCAACCTGACAGTAGTAATAAAATTACTATTATTTCGTAATAAAAGTACTATTATTATCGTTGAGACCGTATTGGTAATCTTATTATATTTGTTGGGGAACGCGTAAAAATTAGTATTTGCTCGTTCCTGGGATCGGAACGCTCTTGTATTTAAATGAACCGGAATGGGTAGCGTTAACCGAAAATTCTTTCATTCTTTCGGATAGCGAGGGTTATAAGGCCGAGCTGCCTAATCTAGAATTCGTGTTTTAGTTATTTCCCCCGTGCGGGGTTGCTGGTCCCTCATTGGGCGACTCCCCAGGCGGAGGATCGAAGAACACTCGTCGGTTTTGCCGGAGGGTACCGAGGAAATAAAATACCCGGGGTGGACCGGAACTAGCATCTATCTTGGCAATGGAGAAAACAATCTCAGGAAAGACTACCCCAGGTGACAGCTTAGGTATTAACTTGAAAAATCTATCTTCTTCGGAGGCTGGCACAGGGATTCTTAGCCGGGGAGGAAGTTACTGCAGGCCGCGGGGGGCTGACATCACACGGGGGAGGGGAGACCTTGTCGGCGCTCGGAGGTTGACATTATGCGGGGGAAGGGGGAATTTATAGGCGCGGGGGCTGACGTCACGAGGGGGTGCTGACGTCACGCACGCGGGGACTGATGTTATGTACTTATGTATTTCCGATAGTATGTCTATATTATTGTATTACCATGGTTAACCTATCCAGCGGTCGATATTCTTCCAGCGATCGATATTCTTCCATCGGTCGGTAAACTGATCCCACCGACGGCCCACGTTCGATCCCCCGAACAGTCCGCCCCCCACCCGCGACCTTTTCAGCGTTCGCCCACAGCGATCGTCCCCCCCATCCACGTTCACCTGCCCGATTTGCGACGATTCGCCCTACTGCTCTCGCGCAAATAAACGAAGCCTCGCACGGTAAAACAGTTGACAAACGTAAAAAAAAAAATGGCGAATAAACGACTGACAAACGGTAAAGAACGGCAAAGAGACAGCTGACGAACGGTAAAGAACAGCAGAGAACAGCAGAGAACGGTTGACAAACGTTAAAGAACGATAACCATGTTTTTGAAAGTTGTTTAACGTCTTACGAACATTTATAATACAATTTACGAAATGTTTTACGTTTGTATAATTCTGCGTATAATGTCTTTTCGAACGTATGTGAGGAAAGAATAGGAAAAATGATCTGAAACTAAAAAGGGACAAAACGAGCTTGAACCATAGATTTTACCTACTGTCCTAGTTATATAGATTTTTGTGATACGGCTATTTCTATTAAGATGATTACATTATGATTTTTCGATGCGCTTACGTATAAATAATATGGAGGAATACTAAGTATAAGAAAAATATTCATTTTTTAAAATTATAACAGAGTATTTTTATAAAATTTTATAAATTTGTAATAGCATCGTGTACAATATCTTTTAAAGCACATGCCAACAGTTCACAGTCGACAAGAAACTCGCTGTCGTAATCGTCGCTCTCGCGTATCGTTTTGGCGGCGTAAAACTTGTGATTTTTATACTTGTAATATATATCGGTCATATTATTCTGTTGCAAGACGTTTACAAATTTCTTAAATTTCATATGAAAAAGATGTGTATTTTCATATAGCCATAAACATACGATCGATGCAATGCTCGAGATTAAATAACATATCCATTGTTTCCGATTTTAAATATATATTTATTTAACAAAGTAAGCTTTATAATTTTGCAACGGGCGAGGGCACCTCCCGCCCTGACATTGTGATATTGATTAACGGAGCGCTAATGAGAGGTCGCGTAGGGGGGAATCTCCTTCAGGGCATCCCCACCTATAAGGCTCAGAAGCCTGGCCTCTCTCCGTTCGCCTCACTGCGGGTATAAAAGTAATTTCGGTTTATATTTGATTCACCTTTGTATTATTCATTACCGCAACCTGCAGCAGTGCACACATCACGGTCTTCGTATTAGAAAGATACACCACGTAATCCAATTCACTCAATCTCCATGGCTGTGCCATTATATTGAATTAAATACACAATTTAGAACACATGCAACAAATAATTTTGAGAAAAATTTGTACAAATTGATGAACAACGCAATATTTGGCAAAATTATGGATAATGTTCAAAATCACGTAGAAATGAAAATTTTAACAAAATGGGATGGTAGGTATGGTGTTGAGGCAATGATCGCCAAACTGAATTTTCATAGTAGAAGCGTCTTTTGCGAAAATTTGATTGCCCAATGGCAATTGAATTGCGAAAATTTGAGGTGAAACTCAACAAGCCAATCTATGTGAGTATGTGTATTCTCGACGTAACAAAGATTTGTTTGTTTGAATTTCATTATGAATACATGTCTCCTTTGTATCGCGAGAAATGTAAAATAATGTACACCGACACCGATGGCCTATTTAATTATTATATTCAATGCAACAACATCTACGAGCATATGAAACGCGATGTTGCTAGATTATAGATTCGATTATCAAGTGATTATCCTGCTGACAACGCGTATGGTATACTGTTTGTAAATAAGAAGGTTCCGCGTTTGATGCAGGATGAAAATAATGGAGCAATCATGACGGAATTCGTTGGACTTAGAGCGAAAATGTACGCGCTGAGAATAGGCGGTAAGAAAGATACGAAAAAGGTACAAGGCATTAAGAGTAAGGTCATAACGCGAATGATAACTTTCGATAATTATACGTAATGCTTGAGAGAGGAAGTCGAAAAGAGTCGTCGATAATCATGTATAAGATCAAAACTGCATAAAGTCTATACAGTGTCCGAAACGAAAATCGCTCTAAGTTCGTACGATGACAAACAGTATACCTGATTCGATTGACACGTTACCATGGGCGCGATACAAAATACCATTATAATTAAAAACACAATAAGACAGCTTATACAGACATATGTATATTTTTTCAACAGAATAATTTTTATATAATTTAAAATTTGTATAAGATAATTAAAATAAATGATAATAGTACATTATCTTTGTTTATCCATAAGTTGTACGAATTGTCAAATCTCAACAATTTCACGTAAATCTTATTATCCTTTCTCCACAACACCTTTTCTACGAGCTATACATCGGGATTAGCAAAACGATACAATTTGTATTCATAGAATCTTCTAGTAACCGGTTGTTTGCGAGAATTCTCGAGCAGTTAAGTCACCGGATTAGTTATCTGATTGATACTTTGTCGATCGTAAACCCCTCAGTGATCTAATTGGACGTGTAATCTTTATAGAAGATGATTTTAAATTTGCTCACGTGTACAGAGTAACTCACCTTGAATCTCGCTGGTGCTACAATCTTTACATTGTTGTACACCGTACTTAAGAGTTTTTTAACGATCGCAGGTATCACATCGACAGGACGCTTATCGATGGTTATCCTAAACCTCATTATTTATTAATTATTACATTCTGAATTTGAACGACTTACATAAGATTTTGCACTTTTGATGATTATTCTTCTTTTTGATAATGTTCCTGGAATTGCCACTCCACCAAATTTTCTCTAAAAGTTGTCAAAGGTATTACTTAGAATATATTAAGAAATAAAAACGAAGCAAACGTGTATACACTGTCATCCAGAACAATTGAATTCATGAATACGCTATCTTTATACGTGTCAATAGGTATAATAGGCGGTTTTTAACTCAAGTGCTTCGAGGGGAGTGCGGGGAAAGGGGATGTACCCAGGGCGTGAGGGCTGACGTCACGCGGGAGAGGGAAGAGTTTATAGACATGCGAGGGCTGACGCCACGCGGGGAAAAGGGGAATTTGTTGACGCGGGGACTGACATTATGCAGGGGAGGAGGGAATTTGTAGGTGCGAGGGCTAATGTTACGTGTTTGGGGACTAATATTATGTATTGAATTACCAACCGTCATTACCCCCTCCAGCGGTCGATATTCTTCCAGCGATCAATATTCTTCCAGCAATCGATATTCCTCCAGTGATCGATAAAGGGCCCCACCAGCGGCGGTCCGCTCCCACTCGCGACCTTTTCCGCGTTCGCCCGCAACGATCACCCATGCGTTCACCTGCCCGATTTGCGACGATTCACCCCTACCGCTTTCGCACAAATAAACGAGGTCTCGCACGGTAAAGCGGCTGACAAATATTAAAAAAAAACGGCTGATAAACTGTAAAAAACGGAGTCACAAATGAGAATAAGAAAAAGGGAAAAAAGAGCTCGAATCTTAGATCTTTTATTTACCTGCTGTCCTGGCTATACATGCTTTTGTTATCCTCTTTAAGTGGACTGCTCCCATAGTTCATATTCTGTTTGCACGAGTTCTTCCATTTTTTTTTAACACAGTACACATCACCACTTTTACCTAGTTCACTTTATAGCGCACACCGCGAGTTTATTATCTCGGGACTCTTAAACATACGTTGTTTACACAATTTATAAAATCGTTTTATATATTCTAGGTGAAGATTTTCACTAATATGTGCAATACCTACATAGAACATTGCTTCTATGTAAAGGTCATGATTGCAATCGCAATCGCAGTTATTATAAATCCAAGTTGTGCAATTCCAACGCAAATATATCACCACAAAATAACAGCTCTGTAAACATTCCATAATCTGCAGGAATTTTAATATAAATTTTTGTGCCAAATGCGATTTTTTTTATCAACTATTGATGCCCACAAATGGAATATTTATTTTCTTTAAGCTATAATTCTGCCCGGATAAATGTTTAAATGTACAGTACAGTNGGGGGGGGGGGGGGGAGGTAAAAATAGTTTATTTTTTTACTTTATTAAAACTCCTTTGTCTAAAAAATCAAATTAATCTCAAAAGCTTTTGGATTGATCTAATGACGAATTAATAGATGTTAGAAATACGAGATAGGCGCATTCGCGCAAGTTAAAACCAGCAAGAAAAATAATAATCCCGACTCCCGCGTAACGTAGGACATGCGTATCCGCGGTTATTGCGGATAAAGAAGTCTCTGCGCAACGCGGGACATGCGCACTTTTAAGTGCCGGCCGATTGGCATTCACACAACTCAGATCGATTTTATAATCAATCGAAATCCTGCGCAGGAACTCATTTTTCATCAAGTATCAGGACACCGTACTTCCGTAGAAAAATCGCTCTCTCTGTATTAACGTAGGTTGCGAAATAAAACCGCGCTCTGCGAATCGTACGGACTCTCGGTTCTCGCCGAACGGACGTATCGCACGGTACTTGCATTCTCCGGTCGAGATATTAGGTTCTTCTCCGAAATTAATCGTGTAAAATATTGTACTTGTCTTCATATATCAACGTGTTCTTAATGTTTAACGATTAACGTCTTAATCTTAGATCTATTATTTACCTACTGTCCCGGCTATACATGCTTTTGTGGTTTTATCCGGGTATTCGCGATAAGTGTCGGAATGCATAACGACAGACCGTAGTTGTTCGGCACCGCGCGAAATAAGAAGAAAATCTGATTTTCATGCAAGACACCTGTGCTGAATCGGTTCTGAGAAAATTCTAAGTTCGATTGCACACAGTATATATCCGGCCGAAAGCCTATCACGTATATCAGGTGACTTTCACCTCATTGCGTGTTGTAATATACGTTTAAATTAATAAACATTGTTTACGTGTCGAAAATATGACTCGCATTATTGTCTCGCAAAAGCTATCCCGAAATTGAGGCAACCAACGTCTCGCGTTCGAATCCGAACAGTCCCGGTCCCCGAGAGTGCCACAGTTAAAAACGCACGTTATTCATCGAATAATAGACGATAATATATAACACGCTAACATAGTACGCTAATACTGCCCAAGCGATTATCGTCACTTTTACTTACTTGAGATCGCGAGAGATTGTGCTTCGTACGGTTGGAATGCGCATCCTCGACAGCCGTTGTGTTCGGCACAAGGAATCGAGGGCTGCACTCGACAACGCAGTGGGGGTGGTGTTGCAGCTGATGGGATTTCTTATGATAATGATGCAAGTGATGGAGTTGCTGTTGCGAAGGATCATTTCCTAGATGGTGTTCCTCCATGTCCAACATGTTGCTGTCCAAGACATCCAGTGAAGTCAAAGAACTCGAACGCACCTGCAACAAGGAAGAGAACATCCAATTAGAAAAAATTAATAATATATACCATATTAAATAGTAAGAAAAATAATTTTATTTTAAAACTGAACACAAGTACGAAATAACCAATTTAAGTTAATCAAAGTAGATCTGGTGATTTGCTGGCCAACTTACTAGACACCCCCTCCCCTCTGCCAATCCATTTATTAGGAAATTTCTGGATAAGAAAATTTTGACGATATTGGCATAGTGAGGACCTACTCCATCATGTTGGAACGACATTTTCTATTTGTACACAAGTCAACATTTTCAAGCAGAATCGGAAAAATATCCTTTAGGAACTGTAAGTAATTCTCAGCATTAATCATGCCATCAAAGAAATAGGGACTAATTAAATGGTTATTAAGAAGAATAAAAAAAAGTAAGTGAAAATAAAAAAGCAATTAAAAAGATAAGTTTAATTATAATCTTCTAAGTGTTTTGACTAGTTCAGGAGCATTCAGTAGTGTCCTTGATTTTAGAGTCAAATTTCAAGGTTATTTCAACATCAGAAGCATATTGACACATAATTTATTAATAAGCTAAACAATTTTCTCCGCAGGTTCATTATATCTTAAATCGTAATTGTTACCATCAAATCAATTTTATTAATGGAAACCCCTATTTTTAGCACAAATCAAATGGCCAAAATTAACCTCCATGTGGTATACCTTAGGTAATGCTAATGCAGACAGTACTATAGTTTTCAAGTCATAATTCAAAATGTATTTAACCAAAAAATATTTATTTATAGTGTTTTGAAAAGTTCTCAAAATAAGCTATAAGAATAATGAATGGAAAGTAGAAAATGCTATTTAGGAAATTGAAGCTAACTTTCACGTAACATTCAAACAACAATCCAAAGTCAAATCGTTCTCAACATCTTATGTCCCCCTTTAAACTATACAACTATTCAAAACATTTTTTTCTTAAATGCTTTCCTAAATAGATAATCTAGTGGAAACTTTAAAATGGGACACCCTGTACAGGATCTTTCACTAAAATCCGGACAAAATGAACAATTTGTTTAAACAAAATTCTATTTGTCAAAATGTAACAATTACAAAAAAACTTTTTGTACATCACTAGTATCCTTTTAGAGTAAAATTATTCCATATAACTCCCTTTTGCTTCGATGACTGCTTCGATCCTTGTCCTGAAGCTCTGGCACATTCTCTGCAACGCGTCCTTGTCCATATTGATGAATGCCGCCTTGATAGCGGCCTGGAGAGATGTCATGTCTCGACTTGTTGGTCACTCGTTTAATAACGTTCTACACCTAGTAGTCCAATGGATTCAAATTTGATCTGTTCGGAGGCCAGAATTCCTTGGACCAAAACATATCCACATTACCCGACAGCCAGTTTTGAACTAAGTGACTTGTGTGCGCTGGCGCGCCGTCTTGCTGGAATATGTACGGCTTCCCGGCGGCCACGGTATCGATCTACTACCCTCGTCAAAACACGTAAATAAACCCTCTTTTGTGACGGTTTATTTCTATTGAAAGAAAAGTGGCGGCATGACGTGACCCTCACTGGAGACGACGCCTAGGTTACACTAGAATAGGAACAGAGGAACAGAGGCCGGAGAATTCATCCTAGCTATTATATTGAGTCGCAACATCATATGCGGTCGATTTCGGGTACCCGAAGAACCGAATAATTTCGATCTGCAAATGCCCAGCGCGAAGGTCTCCGATTATCACCGCTGTTTGTTTATACTCTGCACTCAGTTTTATCTGTTCGGACATTTTAAGGTTATGCACGCTTACTACAAACATCTCACTTGCTTGAATACCAACAACAACCTATCGTGGAAGTCAAATGAGATAGGAAATTCAAATTTAATTTTGTCCGGATTTTAGTAGTGGACCTTGTATATCTCTGTCCTTCAAACATTTTTATCTTCCGCAAAAATAAAGAGAGCAACTTTTTCTGGGCTCATTTTAGAGATGAAGTATAAAACTCTTAAAGAAAAATCAAACCCCTTGTAAATTTCTTCTATTAATCTGCATACATGTTAACCCTTTGCGCTCGAGAGGTGCCTCTCAGGCATCACTGGATATGATGTGACAACTCGAGCGGTGCCTCTCAGGCACCACTCGGATCGAGGCGGCAAATCGAGCGATAACGGTGTTTATTTAGATTTGGCTTAACGAATATCGCTTCACGAGTCTATTCCTAGCCCTTTGTGTGTAATCTTATGAGGTAATGGCTACAGAGATGGAAAAAAATATAGAATGTAATGTTTAACAAATGTCTTTCTTTGAACTATGAAGATATGTAAAATATTAAAATATACAAGTTTAAAGTGTTATATTGTGTTAGAAATCATTTTAAGTTAACTGTAAAAAACTCACGAAACAAGCGGGAGCAGCTAACTCCTCTCGAGTTGCTGGTTCGCTCAAGCGAAAAAGGCCTCGAGCGCAAAAGGTTTAAATACTCGTAAAATAGGGTGAAAGTGAAAAATATACATATTTTCCAAAAAAATTAAGATAGCGTGTTCTTTTTGGGTTTATTTTGGCGCCACGTTGGGCGCCATTAATTTTGTCACAGGCAACCGTAACTGCAACAAAAAAAGATTGTCTGTGGCGGTTGCAGGACATCTTCGCTCCCGCTTTCGCGGCAGTGGATCCACCTCAGCTAGCTCAGTTCTCAAATTTACACTAGCGGATCGAATCCTTCGCTATTCCGCGTGGTAGAGCGTCATGGTTCTTTCACGTTCTTCCTCGATACTCGCGGACACATCGGAGAGGAGTCGGGAGAGATAATAAATTATAAACAAAATTAACATATAAATAATAACTCTTTAATTAGCCTGAGTCCTTCAAATACAGGCAACTAAATTCAGAAGCGAATGTAACCGGTAATTAACAATACTTTAATTCGATTAAATTCCAATTTTAGGCAACTAATCAAATCCAAGGGAGATCCTGCAACGTGATGAAAAGAAAGCGATCTCTCGCCTGAGATGTTCCGCGAGATGCTTTTTAGGCGGCGGATCTAAGCCGCTTGACGGCAGCTATGATAGCGCGCGTCATGTTAATCGGAAGTTCTCTTGCCCGGCTTCGTTTCGCGAATCTCACCGGATTTTCCATTGGGCGCCAGCCGGGTCTTTCCTGACACTAATTACTGCTTCTGCTCCGATCATGTACAATACCCGATCTAGTTCGTTCGCCAGAAGCAGTTTCTAAAAACAAACATACTGTTTCATAATTCGGCTCAATACATAATATATTTTACAACACCGACAATAATTTATCGAGGACTGTGCGACCGGCAACTAGAGAAGGCAACCGAGTCTCGCGCCCGAGTTTCCGGAATTCCTACATTCGAGACCCTCTCGAACACGGCCCTCGTTGCCCTGCGATGTGGCCTCAAAATCTCGCATGTTCACGCGTCCCGATCTTCAGGGCGCGATGGACCCTAAACGAGTCCTAATTCCCGGTCCACTGCTCGCGCCTATGCCGTCGAGAAGCGACGGCAATTGACTCGGAATTACAACGCATCTCTAATAATTTTCCCTCCGCGGCTGCATAATAATTCTCTTACTCATTCACTCATCGCCTGAAGTTTGCCTCTCCTCAAGACTCGTCCCGATATTTCGGCAGCTTCGCTCGCTCGCTTTCGAATGGGACGTCTGCTTCGCTCGTCGTCGGGCTGCACAGTGACGAGCAAAGATCGTCAATTAACGCAGGAGGCAGCCGTCGCAAGGATCTGTCGTGCCAATCGATGCGGCATCCTATTGGTTCTCCCGGCTAGATTACGCGTATCAAGGTTGCTCGCGGGAGCCTTACGTCTGGAGTTGTTAATTCGACGCTTGGTTAGCCCTTGTTCCTCCCGGGACGATATTCGGCAACGATTGGGCTTCGTAGTAGTTCGAAAGGATTCCCCCGGAGTCTTTCTTCGCATAATCTGCGACTGGGTCGCGAGGCCTTGCGCCTTTCTTAACACAAGGTAACCATCCTCACTGTCCGTTACCAGCCATCCGTCCGGGAAAGGAAGATCTCCCCGTCTTTCCGCATGTCGCTCTAGCCGCTCCTCCAGAATCCTCACCCTTGTTCGTCCTCGGCTCCTCCCGACAACTTTGATTTCCTCCAGTCTTCTTACGTCTAATGCACTGGCTTTTTGTGGATGACCTTACACTCAAAAAAAATATAATAGCTGCGGGTCGCGTTTCGTGTGCAAAATGGCGCACAACAGACAAAATTATATCATTCGGTCGCCTTCTCTTATGAGAAGGCGCGAGTTTTCGGCTCATCCTCGGCCAGGCCACAGTCTAAGTGACGAGCAAAAATTTGCATCGTCACAATTTGAAAAGAAAATGTAAGAGTTACATAGAAAAATGTTATTTCATTTCAAAATAGCGGATACAATATGGCGGACTAAAATGCTAAATTTCGTTGGAATCGAGTGAAACTAATCTTCTAGTCGCTGATTACGAATCTAAAATAGAAATTTTCAAATTCACAATGTTAGATCTATTGTAGCTGACAAAATATAAATACAAAAGGTCAAGTCAATTCTATTAATATTTAATGAAATTATATAAAATATAGAATGAGACAAAGTGAAACTTTATATGCTGTGCATAAACAAATCGTTCTCCTTTCTTTTCTTTTGATTGAACATAATCGGCACCGTAGTCATGTATTTGATTCTTCAGGCATATGGAAGCAACTGATATTTAAAATCGGCGATCTCAAAAATTTTTGGAATATGAGTTTCATTTAAATCCAAGAAAATTTTACATTTTAGTCCACCATATTGGATCTATCATTTTGAAATAAAAAATTTTGATGTCAAATCCATAATCAGTGACACTAAAACCCTTAGTAAGACGTAAATTAAATGCTAACTAAAGTGCACTCCATGAAAGTCAGGCACGAAAAGATTAAGGAAAGAAAGCTTTCAAGGCAAACATTTATACTTCAGCTGCTCCTATAATTCTTATTTATAGTTCTATCTGGGTTTTATAGTCTTATCCGAATCTCTAGTTTGTCAGAACGAAGCTGTAACATTCTGTATATGCATCTATCATATTCAAGAGATTAACGAGAAGCTAACAGAATGACGAAAGAGATTAGATCTCCAGCGAAAGTTACAATAGTGTTCCCTCCATGTCCCTCATTATTCATCGCATGAGATTCTGCAAATCTCCTCTTCGTATTTCATGCATTATCTCAAAGCTCAATCATTGCCTGATAATACGACGTGTGTCCCAAAAGTATTATCCCCCAAAAAATGAGAATGTTTCAAAAAAAATTTTTTGTAAATAATATATTTAATCAAAATTAATTTCCTTCAAAATACGCTCCTTGTGATCGAATAAAGCGATTCCAATGTTACTGTAACTTTTCATAGCAATGGAGGAAGTCTTTACGTGAGATGTTCAAAGCCTTCGTCGCAGCTGACTGGACGTTTTTAACTGTTCCAAAATGATGTCCTTTGAGGTGGGTTTTGAGCTTAAGAAATAAAAAGAAATCGTTAAGTTAGGGCTATATGGTGAGTGGGGAAGCGTTGAAATATTCTTTAGAGCTAAAAATTCTCTCACAGTCAATGATGTGTGACTTGGCGCATTGTCGCGGTAAAGGATCCACGTGTTTGCAGTTTTACAGCGGATGCGCACTCTTTTTCTCAAACGTTTAGGAAGCAAATTTTCCCTGTTTCATGCAGAATTTGATCGCGTAACTTTGCTCGAGACTATGCTGCATTTTCGCCCGTACAAGACACAAAAATTACAACTTACTTTGCTGACATATCGAGCGCAAGAAAGGCTCAGATGGAACTGAGAAAGGTTAAATTGTATACCTAGGGTCCCTCGCCAATTGCCTCGACCGCCATTTTCTTTTCATGGCTCTTCTGACATGTGCACAAAAACTACTTTTATTACTTTCGGGATACATCTCGTAATCGCAGCAATGCTATTGACAACGTGCGGCATTTACCTGAACGCGACCAATCGGCGGCGACACCACCAGGAAGATCCTCATGGTGGCATTTAGAAAGTCATCAGGATTGCGGTTGGTTTCTTGCAGAACGGCTTCTGATATACTGGAACTGCTCTGGGCGGTTTTGCGGCGAACTTTGCGCCGTATGCTGCCGACTAGTCTTCGCCAATCTTGGCCGGTTGTGCCGATATCACCCGATGACGCACTGACACCATTGTCGCCCCCGTGGCTGGTCGCATCCTGACACGGCACTGCCGCCGCCGCCGCCGTCGTTGCGGACGACGACGACGACGACGACTTCGATGCACTTAGATCGCGACTGGAACGTCGGCTAAGGTTACAGCGGCTCGATGAGGTCCCAAATGCGGACACCGTGTTATCGGCCCCCACTACTGGTCGTTGCTCGGCCGCAAAGCAGTTAGTACTCGTGTTATCCTTACCACTACTGTCGCTGTCGGACCCACCGCTGGGCCCGTTGTTCCCACTGCGACCGTACGTGCTAATCTCACGACGTCCGATCGCGCTGCAACTGCTCAGATGACGCACGAGACTGTACAAACCGCTCTTCCGAGTCGACGGGTCCTCTTCGACGCGCTTACCCGACGTTTCCACTTTTGAGCTTGCACAGACACCGTTCTCGAAAAATCACGAATAGCTTTTTAATGACCAGCTCTTATTTATTTATCTCTTTTTTCAAGCCCCCCCTCCCCTCCTCTCCTGACGATTTTATCTTTTCCACTCTATTCTGCAAATAGTATTCTTTATTCGAGAAAACGAAGATGCGGATGCTACGTGCGCGCGCTTTGACTCTTTTCCTTCCCGGTTGCGCGCTGCACGTTTTATTCTGTGCACAGAGAATTATTCTCAATTATTGCCACTGTTCCTTGCTCCGTCGTAAATTTTACAAATTTACAAATTTCACAACTTCGTCACGGAGAAACGCGGAATTACTAGTATAAATATGATGCGACTAGAGTTACTCGTGTGGTTTCTGAATTTCGTGTCGCATCGATTAAATCTCGTGACTGCTGTTCCCGAAAAGATTCCATTCTCGATTGAGTGACAAGTTTTTCCCAGTTCTTATCGCCTGCCTAAGTACTCGCACGAGCTCTTCGGTGCGGTTTATTGTAAGGAATTACGATATTTTCTAGTTTGATGAATGCACGTGATTGGCGTGCTTTGTGTTTCAGCATGGCAATATATAACGATTAAGTTGATTATAGTGCAAGACGAATCGACTTTGTCTATCGATTTCGCGGCACAAAAATCGAATGCGTTCCGTGGGCTTTGAGAAATACAGTATTTCTAACAGTGCAATGGAAACGTGAATCTCCCTTTGACCAATGTCCTCGATCCGCTTCCAGACTTTTTTCTTAGGCGCTTCACTTGCGCGAGATTTAATTTGTCAAGAAAAGAAAGTCGTAGTCGCCAAAACAACTGGACTCAAGCAGCGAACGACGACGTAAGATTCTCTCTCTCTCTCTCTCTCTCTTGAGCTTTTGAGTTCTTGAGCTCCACTTTTGATCTCCGTCGCCTGAAATCTCCAGAAATGGCCGTCAATAATGTCTCTCGGCAGCTCCAAGCGTCTCCGTCTTTTCTCGGCAGCGAGAGAAAACGATTATCTTAGCATTCAATTTTCGTACGGCATGCATGGCTGAGTTGGCCAGTTATAATTTTAATTGGAGTTCTCTCTACCGAGATTGCGTTCGCCGACGGATCAACCAGAAAAAATCCACGGAAGAGGTTCCTCGGCTTCGGCTCGAGATTGTACGTTCGGTGCAATCACGAAGCGGATTAGAGAAGAGCGTTTCTCTCGTCAAACGCGCGGCATCGTAAACTCCTGCGACGGTTTTTTATCCGAACGCCTTTTCTCTTTCATTTTTTTTTTATGAGAATCGGAGAGACTCAAGGTTGATACGCCGGGACAAATAAAAGAAAGCTAATTTGTCATTAATCGGATAACAAATGAGATTATTCTTTATCGCATTTGCGCCTTCCTTGCAATTCAATCATTTTTTCAAATTTCGTGTTTGTCTCACGATTCTTTCATCGTATCGACCAACGTAATAGTTTCTTATATTATTTTTCCTCACAAAACGAAGAGGACTCACGAAATGGGCGTCGATGGGCGTCGATGGTATCGTGAGAAGCGGCGGGCTCTGGGAAAATCCAATTTGCTGATCTCGACAATTAGATGCATCACCGAAGCTCGCGTTGGAATCCGAGCGGCTGATGTAAGCAAGCTGCCGTCGTTGTCGTTGTCGTCGCTTTCGAGGTTGCTAATAACGTGAGCCGCGAATCGAGTCAAGGAAATTCGTGTATCCTAAATAGTTCACGCTATAGTACAGAAGGGCTGTTATCCTTCGCGCGATCGATCGGTGCACCAAGCCGTAGTAGAAACTCGCTATGATGCTTCAGTCGATCAAATGTTCGTTGCTGCTCAAGGCAATTATCATTTACTTGCCTTGATTGCGTGATCCACTCCTCGTCGAATATCTTCTCCGTTTCGCAATTATCTCGCTAGCTGATTACTCATATCCGCCTCGTAGCACGAGAGCAGTGCGTTTTTTAATTTGCGACAGCAGCCTACTGTAATGCCTGGCATCTGTATAATAAATCAATCATGCAATTAGTAAATTTTATTATTAACGAAGTGACGCACCCGATGCACCTGCCGCCGGGTTACCCCGCTATTCGTTAATCGCGTGATAACACCGGAAAATCGAGTCTCGCTATAAGCCGCGATATGATATGCGATTACGTTTTATTTTGTTATGGAGCGATTTACTTAGATCTCAAGTTCGAACCAGTATTGCACAATCGTGGGTAATTCGAGCCCCTACCACTTAATAAGCGATAGTACTATTACATGCATGATACAGGGTGCGGCGAAAAGTATGCCCTCATTTTGGAGAGCAATCAATAAAATACTATTAAATGTAGAGGATTGGAAATTTTTTTATTACCTTTGGTACTTCAAACAGTTTTTTTACATTAACGTTTAAAAACGATATCTGCAAGATGGCGGCCTCCAGTAGCAATGCACTGATGTAGCCGATTTTGGAAGCTTCATAAGCGATAGTACTATTACATGCATGATACAGGGTGCGGCGAAAAGTATGCCCTCATTTTGGAGAGCAATCAATAAAATACTATTAAATGTAGAGGATTGGAAATTTTTTTATTACCTTTGGTACTTCAAACAGTTTTTTTACATTAACGTTTAAAAACGATATCTGCAAGATGGCGGCCTCCAGTAGCAATGCACTGATGTAGCCGATTTTGGAAGCTTCGGGCTGCGTTTTGGCACATCTGAATCGGAATGGCGTTCACCTCTTCGATGATTCTCCTTTTCAGTTCTTGTAGGGTATGGGGACGATGCTTGAAGACTTTTTCTTTCAGATACCCCCACAAGAAAAAGTCACAAATGCTCAAATCGGGCGATCTTGCTGGCCACCCCAAATCACCCCTCAGAAAGACGAGTCGAGTAGGGAACATTTGCCTCAGTTTCGCCATAGAAATGCGGGCTGTATGCGCTGTTGCTCCATCTTGTTGAAACCAAATCTCCCCCAGATTTGTCTGTTCACTCAACTCCTGCAATTTAGGCTCAAAAAAGTTTTCCAGCATGAAAACATAACGTTGAGCTGTAACTGTAACAGTATGGCCATTTTCCTCAAAAAAATAAGGCCCAATGATCCCAAATTTGGATATGGCACACCAAACAGTGACTTTTCGTGAGTGCAGAGGTCTCTCATGGAATTGCCTTGGGTTGGTGTCAGCTCAGTATATGGAATCGCAAGCGCATTGCTCTCTGCGTCGCTCTCTGCGTCGCAATGACTGAACGGCCATTTTCCAAAAAAGAGCGCACAGCGAATCCACGATGTTCTCCAGTCCAAATCATGATGTTAACTGAAAACGGTTGACAACAACCTTTCTAATGAGACCCTGCCCAACAACCTACTCACGCCATCTGGTGAGCAACGGATTTTTCAAACTCGGGCAAACCTTTCGCCGCACCCTGTATATCCGCATAACCAAACAGAGCTCTCGGAAATTCATGCTATTTTGGAAAAATGAGCCGAGCTAGCCGAGCGATACATAAAGTGCAAAAGAATTAACTCATTCACACGTTTCAGCAAAGTAGCGAACTTTCGAAACGGCGGTCGCTCTTTGCGCTTTTAACATGTTGAGTGCCGCGCTGATTTCTATTGATCATTCAAACGTCTAATTGATGATTAAATCACTAAAACTGCAATAAATAAATATAATTCAGAATATATAAATCATGTTTTATTGGCTTTTTGTTGGTCATACAGCGTACTTTGTAGGTGCAATTAATTATATTTTATCCATAACTTAATAAAATGCGATAATATTACAATGTCGCTCATTAATGACCCTTGCGGGATTTAACATGTTAATGATTGCCTTCCTGCGTGGACAAACCTTGCCGCTGTTTCTCGCTATTTGTACTGGCTATACTGAAACGTATGAACGAGCTGACTCCTTCACGCCTTTAGTATCGAACGATTTTGGCTGACTCAGTTTACTTTCTGAAGCAGCGTGAATCTCGGAGAGTTTCGTTGTATACGGGTATGTTATGCATGTAATATTACCGTCGTTAAGTGATTAGAGCTCGAGTTACCAATGATTGTACAGCACTGGTCTGAACTTGAGAAATGAAACGTATTTTATGCGCGTTAAATTGATTATTATTGTGAAAATTATTTTTTCCTTAAGCAAATAAAACCACCTTTTGTTTCATGCACACCGGTCAGCTTACCAGTTTACATTGGTTCATGAATTGAATTTTTTATGGCTGAATATTTAGAAATCTTTGAAGTTCTTTTCCGTTTAATTCTCAAGAGCTCGCACTTTTACATCGCATCTATTTATTCTTTATTTTTATGTAATATCATACAAAGATATTAGTATAGCAATGATAATAACGCATAAATATAAGAGTACAGTATGAAGTATTTATACTTCTCTTATTACCACGACATTATTTTTATTGACAAAGCGTTCATATGACATTATTTATGCAAGGTAATTATAAAATGTGGTGTGAACACTGTATAGGCGGATTTTTTTAACGGTTAATCATAAACATTTCTAAAATTTATAACTTCGTCTCCTTGTGTTTCATTCTCGATCTTATTTTGGGGCTACATTAATTAAAAGAAGGAGGTTCAATTTTAAAGGGATGGATGCTAAAGTCTATGATGAACTTGATAAGCGTCGATAACATAGAGGTACATATCCACCTGAAAACTGTTACATCATATAAATATTGACGTAATCATTCTATTCTTTCTATATCTCTCTACAAGATTTCATTAATGCAGACTCATTTCCTATTTGGGAAAAGAGTTTAATCTAATTATATGTAATTATATAAAATTATATATAATTACATATAATAAGATTTAATGATATTATCGATTATTCGCAATTTTATCCAGATGTTTATAACTCCATATTAATTTGAATATTATACAAACATATATAAATACGTATCTGATTATATTTGAAATTCCTAATAGGGTGAAAAGTCGATTATGTCTGATTTTATCTAATTCTATATAATTATAACAAATTTGATATAATTACATATTATAAGATAAAAGAAATATGGAGTTATACAAAATTAGATATAATTATACGGAATTATATATGAAATTTTCAATAATAAAATAGAAAATTCTATAAAATACAAAACTAGATTAAATTATATATAAACTTATACACAGAACGTATATATATATATATATATATTTTTAAATGTAGGAAAAAATAACATATAATTATTTGAGGTTACGTTTGTACTTTCTTACGAGTGAAAACTGCGGTTATATCCAGGATAAGACTCCGCCTTGCATTTCAAACAATGCCTCATTTTTAAACAAATCGCGTCCAATTATTATTTTGTTAACGTTCGAATATTTAACGAATTTTAATTCTACACACATGTGCACGCATGTTTACAAAACGAAATTTTAGTCTGCTTTCTCCCCTCCTGACGTCGCGTGGTCGTTTTGGCGGCTCATTGTAACAACCAATCACAGCGCTCGACTAGAAAGAGACAGACAGGACACTCGGCATCCATCTCTCTCTTGACCTCTATCACTTCCACTTACAGGCTTGTTCCCTCTATTCTTATATCTCTATGTGAGATGGCGAATGCACCATCTCAGTGAGCATAGATTAAGACGGAGATCAAGACGAATTCACCGTCATGTCAGGAACGGGAGCTCGGTGTGCGACAGTGAACTGCCGGTGCGGATCGGTGTCTATCTCTCTGACGACGCGCGCTTATAGTCGGATCTCGCGCGACAGTCGTCGCGCCGTTGCTACGCAACGGCGCGCGTCACATAGTAGCGTACACTGTTGCCTCGTGGTATACGGCACGCTCGCATGTTGGAGAGATTAAAGTGGCACGCAGTACTGGTAACGGCCCAACTAATGTTCGATCAGGCCGTGGGGAGAAAGGTGCAACGCTGCATTGTTACAATACATTAAACTAAAAATGCTGTTTATAAATATTTACTAGTGTTTATAAATATACAATAAAAATAAAATGGTGTACAATGTGTAATATTGCAACTAATATCACTAATTGAAAAAAAATAAAAACACTTTTGGTATGTATTAATTCTACACAATAACAGTGAAAAGTAAGTCTTAGTCACGAGAAACTTAATCATCACTGTCATCACTGTTTTCAAACTGAGTGTTTAATCGTGCAGTTTGATCTTCTGAAAGTAAGATGATTGCAATTGTTGTGAAGCATTTATAAGGGAAGTATCGTACAGGGTGCCTTTCTTAGAACATTTGTGTTAACGCCTATTAGGAGCGTAAAATAGATTGAGATAAATACAAAAATCTCATACCGTTTTACGATGTTCACAATTAATATTCAGATAAAATTTCAGTGAAATCAGACTAAAGAGCGTGCAAGAGAGAAAGCCGCTCGAATGTATAGTGGGCCACTTCATTTAGCAATGAGTGTTTTCCAGCAATGTTCACAGACGACACCGTGTAACACAGTACACGATCCAATGCTTTCCAACTAAGACACAAGTCGACACAATCGTATACAACTAAAATGCTGTGTTTGACTATGTCGTTCTATGTCGTAAATAAGTCTATGGCCACAAAATTATTTATGTTTCAACTCTTTTTTCAAACGATCCAATAATGTTGCATAGTACTCTTCTGTTATTGTCTTATTCTTTTGCAAGTAGTCAATTAGGATAATTTCTTGGGAAGCCTAAAAAAACAGTAGCCATCATCTTTCCAGCCAATAAATTACTTTTTTCCTTCTTTGGTGTATTTTCACCAGATATTGTCCACTGCTTTGACTGCTCCTTTGACTCAGAAATGTAGTAGTGGATTCAAGTTTCGTCCACTAATCGACGCCAAAATTCTTGCGAATTGTGCTTAAA